ATGTACATAACACCTCCGTATATTCAATTGAAAAGTAGCTTTTAAAACAAGTCATATGATGTATAAGGGCAGATCACGGACATACATACCTCTTTAGACTTATATATACATAAACGACCGTTGTGTAACAGAAACTAAAATTTCCGAAAACGCTTAAGTGCTATTAACTGAATTTAGATTAACTGACAGCTCTGGAAAACGGCTGATATTTCTAACTAAACTAGAAATGCAATTACCCATCAGTGACAGAGTAAAAACATGTGCTCCGCCATGAACTTGCTCATGGCTGCAGTGAATATTTGACGAAGCCACGCCATTGTCTTAATGCGTCCGTAGGGTGAGATCGGTGTTGTCGTGACCACGTGTATCAGGTGCAGGGCTACGGGTGGGATCCGATCATTATATCAGAGCTGCGATTTCGCTTGCACACTCCTCCGGACACAGACATGATTCCATCCGATTGACTCTTGCATTAGACACAGTTATTAAAGGTCCACAACAGTAAAGTGATACTATTATTTGTTATTGCATATACAATGTTGATCTTAATAGCAGTAATAAAAAGTTTTCATGTAAAGCAAGGTATGTCACTTTAAAAGACAAGGCAATTCATAAATGTAACAACGACCTTACTCGGGTATATAAAACGCAGTGCTGCCATTCACTAGGCTCCTACAATACCCTTCTGTACACCCCCACCCAGCCCCCCCTTAAAAAAGGGACTGAAAGCCTGGCTAACAACAGGAAATAAATGATGCCCTAAGCGCCTTTATTCCTATTTGGAAAAAGACGCAACAGAAAGGTTTAGCTTATATCATCCCTTTGTGTGGCAGTAAATTGCATGCCTGTTTTTATCTCCGGGTTGAGGAAGCAGGGTGTAGCGCGGAGGGGGGGGGGGTCAATTTTAGAGTCCAGTTTTATCTTCCATAGCTAGGGAAAATACAAGAATAAACTAAATAAAATCGCATTTAAACAAAAAAGGCATTGAGCGCAGGCTGCTCACCTCGTGATGCCGGCCGTATTAATTTATCCCTGCGGCGTGTCACAGCCCGGTCTATGCCTGTCCCCTTCGCTCGCCTCTCCTTTCAGCATTAACAGTATAAGAAAACAATATAGCGCTGATGAGACAAACGGGACGCTGTCCGATCCGCACGGACCTGCAGCCGGGGACGGAGGCGGGCGGGACCACTGGCGTGACGTCATAACTTGGGGCGGAGCCGCTGCTGCAGATTCTGCGAATCCCTTTAAATTTTGATTGGCGGCTTCGGCTCCGATCGCATCTCTCTCTGTCTTTGTTTCCTCCGCGCTGTTTCTCTTAATTGAGAACCTATTGTTCGACTTACAGCCACTAAGAAAAAAAAACCTTTTTGAAACCTTGAGATGGAGCTAACAGCCAATCTGGAAATCTGCTTTTAGCAGTAGCATTCTTCACTTATCTAAACTGTTGCAGGTACACGCTGGTTTGCGCACTCAGGTGCTATAATTCAGCTCACCTGATCATAACAAGACACAGTAATACTAAAGAACATGCATGTTTGCTATAATTATATGTATATGATTTATAATCAACTTTTTATGTGTAAAGGTAATGCAATAGCTATAGCGTGCAATTTCTTTTAATTATTTAGAATAAGGACTTGCATCCTGGCCAGAGTGTCCTTTGCCTTCTGCCCTGTGCTTTCTGGGATAGGGCCATAGCAACACTGATACCTACTGGCTAAGCAATTATGGAAGATGGATGCAGTTTATCCTGCATTTTTTTGTTTTAATTTTTATAGTCATCTAGCCTGGCAGAAGTTTTGGATAGATACATTAATTAATTAGTGATTTGTAGCAAAATGCTGGTTAATTAAGAGGCAGTTGGGATTTTTTTTTCCATTTTTTAAGTGTCACTAGTACGTCAACCAGCAAGTTCTGTAAAATCAGCCAAAATGTAAAATTTAAAGGCATCAGTGCAAGTATCAGCACGTGCCTTTGAAGCTAAGACTTGAAAAAGACGTCGACATATTCTTCACTGCCGCACCAAAGGACATCAGTGGAAGCATCTTAAATAAGCACAGCATCACTTATACTAAGACAGGTTTGCAAATCAGTGTTTGTTAGCATGCGCACTTGTGCTGCATTTTAACTCATTTTCATGCCAGTGAGCGCGTTCAGGTCCCACTTATATGTACGTTTTTTGACATCGTCCTCTACAGTTGTTACCCATTTATGAAGCTGGCTGTTCCCAAGCATGTACATGATACCTATTGCCTTTAAGGTAATTACAGTAAATCAATATTACGCCAGTTCCGTTTTCGACTGGTGGGGTTGAATTTCACCAATCTGTCCCAGTGGTGTTGGAGCTAAGGGGTCTGAAAATACAAAACCCTCTCAGAAAATGTTAGTTACTCTGGCAGAAAGGAGCGGTGTATCTCTCAGCGGGTTAAGCCTATGTGCCTGTGATCAGAAGGTTGCTAGTTTGAGTCACAGTCTTGGCAGAATAGTCACATCTCAATTGGGCCCTTCAGCAAGGCCCTTAACCCCTCCAGGGGCTCCAGAATAATGGCCTGACCCTGCGGTCAGTGCCCAAGCTTACTTTGAACTGTATGTATACCGAAGAGCCAAAACAGCATGACCATCAACATTTGATGCGAATAGCAGTGATTATCTCAGAACAACTGTGCTAATCAAGATCTGGAATATATTAAGCCTAATCCTGGTTTTGATAGATGATGAGTTGGATGCAGGAGATAAGGGCAAGCATAGAAACGTAAGTGACTTTGACACGGAAGCCTTGTGGGATGCTGCCAGCCAGCAGTGGTGAGTATCTACAGAAAATGGTCAGAACAGGCAACAGAAGGACTACTATGGCACAACTGATGGAAAAATTGAATGCTACACGTGAAATGACTGTGTGCCAACACACAGTGCATCGCACCCTGCTGAATATGGGGCTGCGTAGCCATAGACTGGTTAGAGTGCCATTGCTTACCCATCTCAACTGGCAAAAGGGCCTGCAATGGGCACACGATCATTGGGACTGGACCTTGGACCAGTCTAAGAAGGTTGCATGGTCCAATGAGTCCAATTTCCCTGGAAAACGGATGGCACAAAGATGCACTGTAGGAAGGAGACAAGATGGTGGAGGGAGTCTGATGCTCTGGGCAATGTTCTGCTGGGCACCCCTGGGTCTGGCCATTCATGTGGTGGGTACTTTGACGTGATGCCTATTGCGACATCATTTCAGACCATGGCAGTGGTTTTCCCCGATGACAGTGGCATCGCTGCAGGATAATGCGGTCTGCCACACTGCACAGACTGTCCAGGTACGGTCTGCAGAACATAGTGAAGAGTTCAAGGTGTTGCCCTGGCCTCCAAATTCCTCACGCCTGAATCCTATTGAGCATCTCTGGAATGTACTGGAACCTCAAGTCCAATCTGTGGTCGCTCCACTTCACAATCCACAATCCTGACATCTTGGTGCCAAATACCACAAGACACCTTCAGATGTTTTGTTAACTTCATGCCTTGGTGGGTCACAGCTGTTCTGGCAGTACACAGAGGACCAACAGCATATTATGCAGGTGATCATAATATTTTGGCTCTTCAGTGTATATGTATATATATATGTCTTACACTTAGACTTGACTTTATCCCAGAGTTGATGAAGATGCATTTCAGTGTACCTCTGCCCATGCTTGTGCCAAGAGAAAATAAAGATCAATTCATTTCTCCTGACTAGAATGAGTGTACACTGCACCCTGGTGGCAAAGTGAGGGAGAACAACAAATGCTCTATTGTTTCATACATATCACATCTACAGGCCCGCAGGTTATAGATTGCATTTGATGCTTGTTTTGCATCTGAAGGACCATGCAAGGTGGCTACAGTAGTTATCCTAGTAGTTACTGCAGTAAAATACTGAGGTCGACCAAACAGCAGCTGCTCTGTTTTTTTCGGAATACTAGCTACTTCACCTAATAATGCTCAGGATCCAATAGGATTTTGAAGGCAAATTATTATCCTGGTTCTGATGCAAAAAAAAAGACCTGTTAGATCAGTAGTGTGCAATCTGGCTTTGTGTTATAAGTTTGTTCACCTGCTGTATGTATGCCAAAGTTTAAAATTGCCATTATATACAACATACGCAGAGACATGAAGGTCATGTTGCACAGCCAGTCCCTGGCAGCAGCAACTCCGTTTAAAATGCCAACTTTAGGTACTGCAAGAATAACATGAGAAACCTTTTCTGAAAGCTATACGTAGAAGTGACAGCATTACTGTGCCGGTCCCACCCAGCTCACGTTTAGGTTTCCACTGCTCATGCTAACAAGATGGCCGCCACTGCCTGCTCAGAGCACCCGGAGCGTGGGTAGTGCTGCAGTGTAGCACTGTATCGTATAAAAAATGTAATCTGATAAAGCCACACCCACCCACACACACCTGCACGGTGCTTATGTGTCTGTGAAACACCAGAGCTGCCCCCCCCCCCCTCAAACATACACGCATATGCAAAATCCCCAATCAACAGCAATGTGGGGAGAAAACAGATGGAAATGCAGTAAAATTAGCACTTTTCTTGCATCTGCATCTCCATGGAGATGTGGTACTTTTTAGGGGATCAGAACAAAGATGCGCTAGTGGGAGATAGGAAAAGCCCCCCAGCCTGTTGCTGGGGGCTGGGTGTCCTGGATTCCCAAGTTGCCACAGTGGTCACAAAATGTGGTGCACTGAAGATCAAGGAGAGAGGCTTCCTGTAGAAGCGTTGTCTAGCAGCCGATCACATGTTGGGTTTCTCTTGATTTTGCCTTTCCTGCGCACTTGCGCAATCTGCACACAAGATAGTTTTGCTCATGAGAAATGTTTGCTTGGGAGCCCCAGCAAAAATCTGCCTGTCCCTGTGGTGCTGGTGCATCAAGGTATTTCTGGAGTATCTCAGGAACACAGCCGGCACTGCGTTGCACACACACATAGCACGCAAACACAAATGCACAGTCCAGTGACGACCGTCTCCCAACCTGCTCGTTGGTGTTCATACACTGCAGCTTCATCTGCTTCAAGTAGGTGGCGGTGAGCGGCATGTTGTAGTCAATGAGGTCTGGAACCAATGGGGCCGGCCTGTCGTTCTCTGTAACAAACACACATTAGCTTGTGAGTGATTACTGTTCTGCAAATAGACAGCCAATCAAATTCTCACTGAAGTGCACGAGACCTTAGATACAGGGGAGCAACAGCAGTAACTGTACCAATCTAAATAAACTCCATCAGTTTATCTGCACTGTCAAGTACTTTCACTGGACTTTATCAGCCACTGACTACATATTGTCCAGTTTTGCACTGTTGGTATTGTTTTGCCCTACACTATATGCTAAAACTCATTTGTACACTGGTTGTACACACAGTTGAATGCTGAAAGAAACAGGGCACTCTGGAACCACCAGCATGATCTTCGACAAACCTGGTCAGGACAATATGATTGGTCAGGACAAAAATCAGCAGGACAGCACTGCCCACCCTCCCGGACATCAGGGACACTCAGCACCCATGCCATACACTGTCCCACTGGATGTGCTCAGGTAGGCGCCTCCGGAGCCTTATGGCCAGGACTGAGAAGCTGGCCGTTAGGATCTTAACACCACCAAGTTAAATAAGCCAAGACTGCAACCTGCACTTTCAATATTTTCCTCATATTTTCTAATAACTTTTAACTTCTATATACTTTTAATATGTTTCTATATTTTCAATACTTATTTTGCTAATCTATGTTATTTAATTTGGTTGTCCTTAAGCCTTGTTTATTGCAGTGTGGAGTATTTCATTTCACTGCTTATGTACTGCTACATTCATGCATATGTCAAATAAAAATCTTGAATTTTCCCCATTTTTCCACTAGAGGGACTTCTTTGCTATTCTCCCCAGAATGAATGCTTAAATGATTGTTTAAATGAATGATTTTCAGATTTTACATTTTTTGCTATGATATGTCCCTGCCAAGCATCACTACTAATCAGTGCTTGGGAAGAAACCCAGTCTGATTTAATGGACTGGCTTAAAAACGTACTTGGTGCGTGAGTAGCATAGTGCCTAGTGCCTCAGTTCTCCCGGAGTGGGTGTTTGAAGCCTGCCTCCAGTTTGCATGTCCCCCGTATTGCATGATTTACCTTCTGCAGCACGAAGACATGCAGTTAAGCTAACTAGCATCTCTATATTACCCACAGTGTATCTTTCCTGCAATGGGCTACCTTCCTCTCCAGCATGTCCCCTGCTTTGCACCCTATGCTGCCTGGGATAGACTCCAAGCCCCCCCCCCATGACTATAGCCAGCATAAGTGGTAGGAAGATGGATGGCTGGTGTCACACATTAAGCCTGGGCAGTTGGATTTCTCATTTATCCTTCTAAATAAATGTTTTTTGGTTTTTTTTTACTTTATATTTAACTATTTACCATGTGCTTCAGTCAAATATGAAACAAATTTTCAGCTTTGGTGTTATATATTTGTTTATAATCTGGCTTCAGTAAGGCTCTATACTATATATTATCCAGTTTAACTGATATGCAACATTTAAAATGTTACGCGTCGTATACAAACCAAAGGGTTCAAATCTGACATCCAGTGTCATTGCATCATGAATAACTTGAGTGCAATACATAACACCTTCTGGGCCTTATTGCTCCATGTGGTGATGTTTGACACAGGAGACATACAGTGAGGTTGGACTCTGAGCCCATGCTGTAGCTACACCCCCTCATCTGATCTCCTTCACCAGAGTACTGAGACAGCTGTATGTCACTCCTATTTCTAATTTCCCTAGATTGCCTTACCTCCTTAACCAGTCTAACGAGTTTCCTCAGTTTGAGTGGCTGTTGACGAATGTACAGTTAGTGAGCACTTCTCTGTCCTGCTTTTTTCTGAGTACCTGCACTCCTGCCTGTATGATTTGGTCTGTATGCTTTCCCCGCTCGCCTCTCTTAGTGTGAGTGTGTGCACCACCTCCCTGCATTTGCACACGTGCCAGCCTTTTCTTTCACTCACCAGGACAGACTCCCCAGCTTCACTTATGTCCCTGACTCTGATTTCCATCCAGTGTATCGGCTTTGTGTCGCTCTGTATTTGGGTCCCCTAACCCTGAGGTACTCCCTGACAGAATTCTGCGCATTCCCATGGACCGAGTGGAGTTCCTTGGTTCCCTCACTCACCTGGATCGGTACCTGGAAGACCTCTCTTCCCCCTTATACCACCTTGCCTCAGTTCTTGACTCCCCTGCTTACTGCTGCTTCTGTGCCTCCAGATCTGGCTCCATCCTGGCATTACCTGATGCCTCAGCATTATAATGGATCTCTCAAACACTGCCAGGGGTTGTCGATGCAGTTCGAATTGTATCTCTGGCACAACCCTGCACAGTTTGCTTTTGACCCTGGCCAGGTCAACTTCATCATCTCCCTTCTGACTGGGAGAGGGGCTAGGCCACTGCATTGTGCCACCAACATAACCCAGTGCTGCACACGTCGACCACCTGTTGCTGGGGAGGGAAACTGGCAATCAGTTGGGGATAAATCCTGACCTACAGATCGAGGTGTGCTGTGGAGAATACCTCAGCCTCAAAGAGTATATCCAGCTCTCTGTTTGCTTGGAAAACATGCTATGAGACCGATGATGATACCAGTACCTCCAGACAGTTCCATCTGGGGCTTCAGGATTCTACTCACAACACCAGCTCTGATCACGCCAAATCCATGCAGATGGGCAGGGCTGCCCTGACACCTCCTCGTTCCTAGATGTCACATAGAAGCAGCGGACTATACCCATCCGTCTCCACCATGACCCAGTAAGTGTAGGAGGCACTTTCTTCTGGGTTCATTTGACAATCCACGTCACCGATGGCATCCAGCTTCTTTGTTTAAAAGAAGGACGGGGGGGTTTACGTCCCTGTTGTCTACTGAGCATTGAATAAGGTCACCACGAAGTTCAGCTTTCCATTGCCCCTGATTCCTGTGAGGTCAGCATGGTATTTCACCAAGTTGTACTTGTGGAGTACTTTCAACCTGATCTGAACTCACAAGGGGAATGAATAGAAGACTGTGTCCATCATGACCCAGGGTCACTGCGGGGATTTAGTGATGCCTTTTGGGCTGTCAAACACCCCCTCTCCATGTCATTCAAGACCTCACACACCAGTGCTTCATTGTTTATGTACAGTGCCCTCCACAATTATTGGCACCCCTTGTTAAGATTTGTAAAAAGGGTCAGAAAAAATCCAACTTTCTAGGGATGTCAATAATTAAGGCATTTGTGGTTTTCTTAAAAAATAATTAGATTTTTTAATTATTAGATTTATTATTTAAAAAGGTGGATTTTTTCTAACCATTTTTAGAAATCTGTAAAAGAAAGCCGATAATTGTGGAGGGCACTGTAGATGGCTTGTTCATTCATTCCTTGACTTACTTCGACCATGTCAGGCAGGTGCACCAGGTGTTGCAACGACTCTAAGAGAATGCTCTCTTTGCCAAGGCCAAGAAACGAGAATTTTATATACAGCAACTCACCTTTCTAAGTTACATTCTTTCCCCAGGTGCAGCCTAAATGAATCCTGCTAAGACCACTGCTGTATCTTAATGGCCTATACCCAAGACTAAAAAAGACTTACAATACTGGCAATACTGGCTCTAGGGGGCTAAGCATCCCTTCCAGGTTCTCACTGGTCATGAGAGTAGTATCTTCCCCCATTGCCAGTTTATGGTTACTGACCTCTCTGGGGTAGAAGAATTCAAAAGCCGGCACCCTTTCTTGGAAGTGAAATGCCGATTGTCTGTCCCCCTCCCCCCACACCATAGTCCCATCAAACTATTTTGTGGCAGCAGTGCAATGGGAGCTCGAGAACATCATCATGAGGGTGTTGCAGCATGATGAGTTCTAGGCATCAAATGGATCATGGAGCTGATAAGTTGGCAATTCTGGTGGCCATCCCTTAAGATGGATATCTAGGACTGGGTACTGCGTAAGTGACTGGGATTTATCATACTCCTAGTCATTATGGACCGTTTTTCAAAGATGTGCAGGTTTGTGCCTCTTCCAAAGCTACCCACTTCTCCCCAGTTGGCTGACATTGTTTTTACACAAGTTTTCAGGGTTTTCATCCTGCCATAGGACATCATGAGTGCCTGAGGACTCTAGATCTCTGCGTGCTTCTGGAGAACATTCTGCTGTCAAATAGACATCACCCTTAGTTTCTCCTTCAGTATCACTCTGGTGTCACACTTACACAGACAGGCAAAGTAAGAGGCTCAACCAAAGCATTGGGAGGTTCCTGAGATCATACTGTGTTGATAATCAAACCAGCTGGAGCCAGGTCTTGCCCTGGGCTGAGTATGCCCAAAATTTTCGGCACCACTCTTCCACTGTGTTCCATATATCTATGCTCAAGCCTGTGCGTTACAGTCTGATGCTCCCCTAGATCGACCACCCTTCGCCATCACCTCCTCTTGACATCAACGGCTCCCTGGCATACACTGTTTGAGCAATCTTGGACTCCCGGTGATGTGGTGGTCAACTGCAATATCTGGTAGACAGGGAAGGTTACAGCCCAGAAGAACAGAGCTGGTTGCCTGCTATGGACATTCTGGACCTGATAATAAAATCGGACAGGGCATATCCCGATTGACCAGCACCTCAACTATGG